CATAGCTAGACCATGTATGAAATTTGAACATTTGGATTCTATTGAACTCACTCATCCTAAACCCCAAGTGATTGATCATCTGTCTAGGCTAGAAATTATAAAAGAATTAAGGAATGAAATTGAGATTAAGGAAAAATTCCCTAATGAAAAATTATTATTTGTCGCGACAATTTTGTGGCATGCTAACATTGTCAATTTTCTCATTAGTGTTATTTTTCTTTCTTACTTCAATAGCCTAGGAAAGAACAAGGTCATACACGATGGTGGCTATTGTTATAGGGATGACCCTGACCTGTCCAACGAATTTGTTGTCCAAATGATTTCAAGTTGCCACTGCAAAAAGGAGCGAAAAGAGATCTTATTCCACTACCATTCAACTTCACGCAGATAATACTTTGAAAAAGAAAGGACTACTGCAAAGGTCCTACAATTCAGATGTGAAAGACCCAAAATGCCAGGGAAAAATATTTTGAAGGCAGAATTATTATATATGTGTGGGGCATTTTGGTCTATACTGGTGCTCCAATAGAACGAGGCAAAAATGCCATAACAATTTGAGATGTTTCGGAAAGCACAAACTCTCAAACATGTGGACAAGGGTAAAGGCCCTATAGTAGCTGTACCTACTTAGAAAGAATACTCAATTAGTGTTGGCACAAACGATGACATTGTTGATGATGTCCACCCATATGCACAAATGCCGCGGCAAATTGCAATACTTCTGGCCAAGCAGACCCAAGATCAAGTGGCGAATCTGACCAGCAACCTAATGACCTTCTTTGCCTATATCAAGTGACGGGATGAGGATGTGGCAATAGCCTTTATGGAGCTCATTCCACAACCCACAGATCCACACGATGTAACACAATAGGAAATATCGCAGCAATTTCCTATGCGTAGGAGCCGCCGCCGCCTGAAGAAGGCATCTAAGCATGAGGAGCCCTAACTCTCCACTATCCCAGAATGTCTAAGTACTCCTCCGGCCGCACCCGCTTCTGACTCCGAACATTCCAGCCCCGCCAAATTGAGAAAGCGTACTCGCCGCGCGACCGCTACACTACCACCCGCTTAAAGTCAAGGTACCTTGCATTTGCATTGCATTCATAGCATGAAGTTTTCATTTTCCTTAGACTTAGTAAGCATTGAGGACAATGCTTCTCTTAAGTTTGGGGGAAGTAGGGTTATCGCATCATTGCATGATAGTAGTAGTTAAATAAATATGCCATGACATTAGTAAATATTTGAATAGTTTTCTGGAATTAGTTAAGGATGCCCAATGATGATGAATCTTGATGGCTAGGATATAATGTACATCACTGGTTGAGGATGATAGAACCAACTCTAAGATTTGCTTCTTTGAAATCCTTGAATACACGATTGTATGTTTTCCATGCTTGAGAAAGAAACTTAGAAATTTTTTATAAAAGAATTCTTAAAATGTTGTGGCATAAAAGTTTGAACGATGAAAAACCCACTAAAAATTTGAAGAGAAGTTATAAATAAATGCCTCGGCATATCTGTAGAGGGACACTCCGCTATGCCATGGCATATGAGTGAATAAAAGTAGTCACGGGATGACTCTACCTGACTAGCTCGGGGTGGAAGGTATGCTCCCTTTCATCTAGAGCATGAGATGGTAAAGTAATGGGATGACTCCCCTCGTAGCAGAAATAAATGAAAGAAAACAAAGTGGGAGTAAAAATTTCTAAATGTCATGGCAAATTAAGAAAGCTTGTTTAGAATTTTTTTAAGTTTGTTAAGCATGGACTGGATACAAACACGCACATACCCACACAAAAAATCTTGCCCTAGGGGACAGTACTAGATTTCTTGACCTAGTCTAGCATGTTGAAGCCATATGTGCTGAGGGCTGAAATTTTATCCCATAAACTATTCTGCTTCTGAACTTGTCATGGTATTTTTGTTTTGCTTATTACTATCCATTGCTTGAGGACAAGCAATAGCTTAAGTTTGGGGGTGTGATAACTCCGTAAAAGGTCACATTTTGAGACCTTTTCACTTAAGTTATTGAGTGTCTAATAGCTCATTTAGGATCATGTATATGTATTTAGAAGCATTTAGTTACATGTAGTGGAATTCTGTTTGACGCAACATTTTATTTTTAAATCGGTGCTGCCTTATGGGAAAGATGCTTGTTTGATGATGTGCAGAAATTGAAAGCAATGAGAAAAGGAAAGAAAATATCGTGACATAAGGAGATTACCGAGCAAAATAAAATTGCCAAGTTCGACTGGCATTTCGATAGCATTTAAAGTGAAAGAAGATATTTTTGAAGCTAGCTGTCTCTGACTTTCTTAGAGCTATGCCCGAGAAATCCACCACAAAGATCCGCCTGGAGAGATCAGAACTACAACCGTCGGTTCTACTGATGAAGCCGCCTGACCCTGCAGATCCTGTCTGTCATTGGGCGCCTGCAACAGGATTATACCAGTCACTCATCCAGCTAATCAGGTTGTATCATAGCCTGTCCTGCCTGACTCCTAAGCAACTTAACCATGGTTTTGGGGTTTCTTAGGAAAGTTAACACCAAGTCCTAGGATTAGTTTTCCCCTATAAATAGAGGATAAAGACACGTTGTTGAGGACTTTGGTTCCACCCAGATTTGAGCTTAAAAAGTTAGAGAAAGAAGGTCTTATCTTTCTCCGTCAATCCTACTTGTCATGGCATTTCTCCGTGACAAGCTTTAGGGAGTGGCGTTCTAGACATCCGAGAGGAGCTGTGGCCGAGGGAAGCTCTGGCAGTGCACGTCGAAGGCTTTTTCTCTTTCCCTTTGTTCTTTGCTTTAATATTTTATCACTTGGGTTGTAAGGAACGGATAAAACTTGCTTTGTTCTTGTTTATTTCGAACCCCACCATGAACTAATCCTATTTGGTGGGAGTTCATTTTGGATGTTTAAGTTTTATTTCAATGAATAGTTATTTTTCTATGCTATAATATGTTTTGTTTATGAAGCTTAGTGCCTTAAGGTTGTAGGAGCTACGAGAGTAGGCATTCCTTAGGAGATTCTCAAGGTTCGAGAGAATACCTAGGTAACACATCCTTAGTGTTCGAGAGAAACTAGGGAGGAACCACATCAAGGGGTTCTAGATAATAACTAGGCCTAATCCACCTTAGAGATAAGGTTAGGATTTCATTCGACTCAAAAGAGTTGTATATGAGCGATAGGTTAGATGTTAATATTGCAACAAAAAGGTATTGCCGAGACATATCCTGTTATCTGGACCAATAGGATCACTGCAGGGGTTTACGCCAACCGGTTTTGCTTGGGCATCTTCTATCTATCGAGTCCCTTACTAGAGATAGCATAGGGCACCTTAGTATACTCTGTCGGGCAGAAGAGGCATATAGATATGATCATTCCGAGAAGTAAACTTAGGTTTTCCAGAGTGACTCCCATCACTCATTCCCATAGTAGCTTGTCGTGCGATAAAGATAAAGTCCTATTAATCAAATCGTATATTTACATTTCATTTTGCCTTAACATTTCCATTTGTTTGTAGTCAACACAATTTAATTTGTCACGACATTTCCATCCACTTTGCCACGACATATCCATTTGCTACCATACCACCATTCCATTTCACAACATCCATCTCATTTTGCCACATCTTTATCATTTGTACATATCATCACTAACTTTACTTAGGTGACAAAGTAAAGCACTTTTATAGAACTTATTCAACTTCCTCCAATCCCTGTGGAGACAATACTCACTTATCACTGTATTACTTGTTCGATTGTGTATACTTGCACATATATCCGCACCCATTTTTAGTACTCATACCAAGCGGACAGTAGTAGATGTAGACTTTGGTTGAGAAAGTCTAACAACTATAAATCATTGTGCATCATTTTTCTATTCCTTTAAATCTCCTTACTCACAAAAATTCTCAAAAAGCCAATTCACCCCATCTTAACAACATTTTTGATTGTTCAATCAAGCTTCAACAATCCCAACAATTTCGATTGAGATTTGAAGAGACTAAAAGATTTTTCGATGAATTTGAATTGCAAGAAAGAGAAATGTAAGAGTTGTTCAATGTTCTTTCTTAAAAGAAGATGAACTTAATGTGTCACGTCAGTATTTTTACATGATAGCCGATGATAATAAAAAGGACTAAAAGAACTTGAGCATTTGTAGTAATTTCAATATTTAATTTTCATTGGGAACTAAGTAGACATTAATAGTATTAGATGTCATAAACCTCTAATTAAGTAAATGAATGTATTTATTGGGAACTAAGTAGATATTAACAATTGTTTAACAAATTAATTCTGATCAAATATTATAGAGATTCAGGACATTTTTCTAATTTAAGTTATTCTATTTACAACATCAAACTTCAAATATCTAATCTTACTTATGAGATCTAATGTTAATCTCATTAAACTAACTGGTTGCTTGTGATTAGGAAATATTTTTGAATGAGACACCTCCCAACATAGACTTGAATCTAAATTAGCTGATAAAAATAATTTAAAATTAGATTAATTTTTTGAATTTAAAATAATGTGTTGAGTATTAAAATTTTAATTTATCCAAAGACTTGTAACTTAAATATCATATAAAAGGAATTTAAAGAGAATAAATTCAAGATTTTCATTGCTAATAAGCAAAATCCCCAAACATGAAATATCATTCAAGTAGAAAATATCTCTTTAATTCATTACATTTTATATGGAGAATGTGTTGGGTATGGGTTTATGGCCACGTAATCACGCCAAAATTTTCTTAAAAGAAGAATATGTTTTCTAGGGCAAACTACATATTTAATCATCCGACTATCACTTTATTTCGTTTTGGTCACTCAAGTATTTATTTTAAAATCTTTAGTAATGTTTAAACACGTATTAAATACTAAAACATCGGACGAAAAAGAAGAACACCGACAACATAACTTGTTCAAAACATTTTCAAACAAAATCTTTTATTGGAAGTAAATAAAAATCAAGAATTATAGAAACTATATTACTGGAACTAAAGCATCTATTGCTTCATTTGCAAGAAAGTTCCAACTTAATCACTAGCAGGTTTTAGTGTTCTTCACAAGTCATTGGTTCTTTCTTTCATCTTCAAATACTGAACTTGTCGACCTGGCTATCATGTCCAGCATTATCATCAACCTTCGGTAACTCGGTCGCTTGCTCAACCGAAATATCCGCTGCGTCGACATTACCACCTATGCCTGCAACTCCAGGTTCTTCCATATCTAAATCTTTGTCTGCTGTTTTATCATCTTCAAAGTCACTTCCATCAGAACTGCTATCGTTTTCCGGGGTTCCAGCGGACTCACCGCCTTCAGCATCTTCGAGTTTCATATCCGCTTCGGCCATTTCTATGTCTTCTACGGGTAGCTGTTGCTCTAGGGGCACCGAATTGCTTGTAGTTTGACCTGTCCTTAATTTTTCTCTGTAATCCTCCATCTCAATTCGATATCGTTCTTTATCTTCGATAGCTTTTTCCTGATAAACCTGAATGTATGATACAAGCATGAGCAAACGCGACATGTTAGAAACACATCACAAAAGAGAAAATACTGTTCTATTGCAGAATCTAATATGGCTCTTACAGATTTTTCGGATTCGGTCAACTTGTTCCATTTTTCACCGATCATTCTGCTGATTTCTCGGTCTTGTCCGGGGTGGAGTGGTTTCAATCTAGCATGTTGCTCGGCAAAAAAGAAGTTATATCCACTCCTGTTCGGTTTTGGATGTGCAGGATCCCTCCGTTTTATCTCAGATTTTCTCCGGCGTCTACGACGTTGCATACCCAATGTAGCATGTGGATTTGCACTCTGGCTCTCAAACACACCATAGTTGTGCTGTGCTTCGGGTGCTGCCTCCTCTAAAGTCTGATAAAGGACGCCTTTTAGCTTCTCCGAGCCAATTGTGATGGTAACAAGATAGCCACTATCGAATTTTCCATCGATGACCCCAATCACCGGAGACCCTGCAATTGTTGATTGCCTGGCTGCTGTAAATCAACTAAAGCACATTATAATAATGAACCAGATCATGACATTCTACAAGTATAGAGATATCATGACAAGAATGAATCTTAAATAATTGTCAAGAGCATATCCGGACCCGAACTATCTTGCTCTGACTCTCCGTTTTTCTTAAAATACCCTCGTCCGACACATATCCGGACTTGTGTATGGGGATATGATCCTCCAAGGTCTAGCCAAATAAATGCAAAAACTTGAAAAAAAAATTGCACATAATTGTGTCAAACATCTATCCGATACTCATACTCAAGGTTGGTAACATAAACTCGAATAAAATATAAACAATATCATTCAACATGAAAGAAATCGTTGAAGGCACCTGTAGGTGAATCGGAAACATTTACTCTTGGTTGCTGGACACCGGCTGCATGAACATCGATGACTGGTCGTACTACCCCTTGAGTAGGAATCTGTGTGACAGATTGATCTGCATAAAAGAATCAATATATGATATTGAGAGGGTACACCGACATTTATTCGAGAAGAGCCGCTTTCTCAATTTGCATACCGGAAGAAACAGGAACCCAACCACGGGCTTTAAAGAAGTACATTTGTTCATAGTGATGAAGCAAAGAAAGATAGTATTTTCGCAGCACAAATGATGCATTTGTAGCAGTTGAAGGGAAGTTGAAAATCGCAGTCACTTCCTTCCATCTTCGCTCTTTTATAATCTGTAAGTTTGGGATTCGACTCATGATTACTGTCCATTGCAGTTTATAAATCATCTCAGATTCCTAATTCAGCAAATGATTTCCAAATATGACTTAAACCATCTTAACTCGGGGCTGGACCAAACATTCATAATGGACTAGATGTGAACATATAGATGAAAAAAATTATAAACCGAAACATGTTCTGATAACAATTATTGAAATCAGCACTGATCTGAAATCCAGACAGTTATCGAGCAAAAACTCAACTTGCATTCCTAGTCCCTTCCTCCTGCTGAGAGTTTTTCAATGAAGATTGCACACCAGTCTGACTCGTCCAAAGAGTCTCATGTACGATGTATGAACAGATATATGCATAGCATACATGGCCATATTAAAGATAGATAGAATTGAATTCATAAACCATTTGAGGATTCCAACAAAACTGCTTGAGAGGGAAAGAAGCTCAGGATAATTACATGTATATCAATTTACCTTTTCGATACCACCACGAGATGTTACCTCCACAAAAAGTTTGTGCAAATCTAACTCCTTTCCTCCTATGATCGGTATCCTATATCAGATTAGAGACGAAAGAAATCATCAAAATTTTGGTTGAGAAGTATGGCTAAGAACATATTGTAAAAAATACGATAATTCTACCAAAAGTACATCAACGACATGAACAGTTCGAGTTGATCATGCCAGCATGAAATCACAACGACAAACATCCAGCTTAAAACTACCAATAAGTATACCCCACTCTGTATGCACTCAAATCTTAAAAATAAGGAACTACAACTAAAATCAATTCCAATTTCCAAATAACACTTTGGAAAACCTGAAAAGAAAACCGAACCCTGGTCTGAAAAGAGAACATTTTCAAGCACAATTTTGTGCAAGATTCATGACAACAGTAGAAATTTGAACTGCAATTCAAAGAATGAACACTTCTTTACACAACCAAATCAAAAAGAATGAAAAGTAGATAGTTTTCAAATGGACATATACGCATAATAAAATTAAAATCATGGCATCATGAGTTCAGGTTCTAGAGGAACAGTCAAAAAAGGATGAATCTAAATCAAATCCTAGATATAGATGTACTTGAACAGATCATATTTATAGCTATATTTATTGCTCAAGTGACTTCTAAGAACTTCCTCAGAAAATAACACAAGAGCATAGCCAGCATCATCAGTTAAGGAGCGTGCCACCTACATTGCCCTGGCTTTTCATTTATCTTAATGTGTCCATACACAGAACTCGTGTCCGACATATATTTGGAAATAAGCACGGGAATATGACACTCCAAATACATAGAAAAACTTGGAAAGAAATTATACTCATATCCAACAAGTACACCCAAGTCTGAGTAAAATCTTGTCACATTTACGTCCAATGTAAATAGAACAGTCTTTTGCTAAAGAGGAAAAAAAAGCTGTGCTACAATTATAAACCACAAATTTAATACTGTAGAACATTTTATGCTTTATAATCCTACAACAGCATAGTAATTTACTCTTGAATGCTGTACATAAAAGGAAACAAATGTATCGGAACTGGATAGTAGCATTAGATGTAAGTATTAGATATGCTTGTAGACAGATACGGACATCTAAATGCTATTTCATACTTTATGCAAACTTAGAAAACTAAAGCATCAAGAAACAGGATTTAACACTTTTTCAGCCATGTTGGGCACTTGTGCTTATCCAAATTACAAACATAACTAGTATAAAGCTTAATCGTGATCAATTCGACAGATTGATACTGTAAAACATTTGTTGGTCTCTAATCTTACTCCATCAACATAGTAACTTATTCATGAATGATGATCATAGAATATATATATATATATACACTGTTGTAGGTAACAGGAAATAAATGTATATGGCGTATGAATGCTATTTCATACTATAAGTAAACTTAGGAAGGAAAACAATCAAGAGACGAGATATAACATTCAGTTGTATCGTGTTTCTCATGACTATAAACATAACGTATATAGCTGTTAATTGTGCTGAATACTCGCTGGTCTCTAAACCTACACCAACATAGTAACTTATCCATACTACACGTAGACTTGGGAAACTGAACCATTGAATGACATATTTAAGGCGTTTTGTTTGCATAACATTCACCATGATTACAGTATCAACAACAACAAGAACCGAAATAGCGAAATAGATGCCTAGTGTTTTGTTGCGGAACTTACATGAACTTGGTTCCCATGGTAGCATGGAGCTTCTCCAACGTAGAGAGGAAAAGTTTCGAACAAGCTACAACATCTTCGTATCTTGCTAGTGGTGGGGGATATGGATTGTAATTCGATGATGGTTCTTTCATAGGCACAACAGTCTGCTTGGCAAAAGAAGTTGATGACATTGCCAATTCTTTGTCAATATACCAACCTTGACCAATCCTTCACAGCTCAACCACCAACAAACCATTAATCGTCTCATAAATTCGAGCCAAACGGTAAAAAAAACTAAGAAAAAACAAAGGGTGAAGAGTGACAGAATAAAAAAAGAATCAATAAATAAAACATAACAACATAACGATGAAATACTCTATTCCCCCCCCCCCCCCAAAAAAAAATATGAGATCATAACCAGCATACGAGAATATGAACAAGCTCAGTTGATACAATAACTCCCCATAACAAGCGATACGAAGTTCAACAACATCATGCTGTATATCATTCTCTCTAACATCCATAAATTAGGATTTGAATGAAACAGTACAGTAAAAGAATCAACAAAAGTTCCAATCTTTTTTCTTATATACAACCACATCAATAAACCAAACAAGACCCAAAATTTTAAATTTTTTTTCTTAGCAGAACCCAAGTTTTCAGGCCTGTCTCCTGTCATTCTAAAGAAACTTTACGAATGGATATATATACCCATTTAACAATATCAACTTGCTTTTGCCTATTTCTTTAATCTGAGAGTGTTTCAGATCAAAAGATGAAAACTTTTTCCAAAACATAAATACTCATAAAACTATAGTCCCCTTCAATGGCATCCATCTCAAAACAAAAAAACTTTAAAGAAGAATTAAGTTAAATAACTCCAAGAGAAGCAAAATCTCACCATTGCTTAAAGAACCTACTAAAGCATTAATCTTGAAATTCCAAGAAATCACAGAACCTACTAATAAAAAAAATGAAAACCACTGTTTCGTTACTCTATTTGATTGTTTTTTTTTTTTTCATTTTCTAATGATGTTTGTTTATGTATTTATATTCTTTATTTTATTAATATTAAGGTATGTAAATAAAATTAATAAAATAGAGCATAAAGAATAGACAAACAAATCCCAGATGAAGAAATGAAACAATAAGCAAAATAAATTGAAAAAAAATAAACTTACCCTAGAAATGAGAGAAAGAATGGGAAAATGAAATGAAATTAAAGAAGAAGCTTAAAAACTATAACCCAAAAATTAGGGTAATTATTAGTATTTATAACTATCGTTTCATTTTTCTAAATTATTATTATATTTTAATTTGGAATAATAAATATATTTTTTATCATTTTTTGGTAATTTTCTTTCTTTTTTTGAATGGTGGTGGTAATCCGAAGACAACAACAAAATTAACCCTATCCTGCATGTTGAAAGACGAAATACGCCCTCACTTTGCCCCGCTTGAGCTATTCTCTAAAGGGTAGTTTTGGTACTTAGCTTAGGGAAAAATTCAAAACTGAATATAAGAATATTAAATAGTTACTGTCATTGATATAAATATTCATAAAATTTTTAATAATATATTTATTTATGATAAGAATAATGAGAATACATGTCGAAAGACGAAATACACCCTCGCTTGAACTATGCTCTAGAGGGTCGTTTTGGTACTTACGTAATGAATAAATTAAAAATGAAATATTAAATATTACCATTATTAATAAAATATTAATATTTTAATAATAATATATTTATAAAAAAATTGAATATTTCACAACTATAGAATGGTTTAAATGATAAAAGAATATTGTTATATCTAAAAGAATCGAATTTAAACAATTACATCTATAAGATATTTAAACATTACCAATAAACTAAAAAATTTATGTTAAGATACTACTTCGTAATCATCCTATACTATTAAAATATTTGTTGAATATTTTGATTATGTGTTCTATCTAGAATTTAAACTCTAGATATTTTGTCCAAGGACAAAATACACCCTCACTTTGCCACCGCTTGAGCCATGCTCTAAAAAGGGTAGATTTGGTACTCACCTTGGGGGAATTCAAAACTGAATATTAAATAATTACTTTCATTGATATAAATATTCATAAATTTTTAATAATATATTTATGGATTATACATTTAATATCTAAACTATTAGCTTTTGTCCAGTTTAATATATAAACTTTTAATTTTTTAAAATCATACTTAATATTTAGTTTTTGTTTCATTATAGTATCCTTTTATTAAAAATTTAATGTGTTTATTCCTTCAAAAAAATGTGTTTATAGTACCTAAATTAAATGTTAGATATGGTTTTGAAAAAATTAAAAGTTTAGATATTAAAACATATCAAAACTAATAGTTTATATACTAAATATATAATTTACCCTAATTTATTTATGATAAGAATAATGATAATACATATCGAAAGAGGAAATACGCACTAACTTTGCCCTACTTGAACTATGCTCTAGTGGGTCGTTTTGGTACTTACATTAGGGACAAATTGAAAATGGAATAGTAAATAGGCTTAATTAGAAAATAAGTGCATAAATTGTATCGATTTTCTTAAATAGATGTTTAAATTATTTTTGATTTAACGATGTGTCTAACATTGTAAACATTATCATTTAAGTGTTTCGACTGTGGTGACTATTAAAAAATTCTTTATGTGACACATGTAATATTTTATACAATTTTAAAATTTTATTTTTATAAATAAAACTTTTCAAAAATACTTTTAAAAAATCATTTAAAAATTAGTTGGGTCCCACCTCACTCTCACCCCACCCGTGTCCTCTTTCTCTCCCCTACTCTCGCTGCTGCATAATTACCTAAAGGACCAAACGGCCAGCAGACTTCAACTGCCCAAATGGCCGGCTCGACTAACACTGTCCAAACGGTCGGTTGATGTCACTGCCCAAACGACCGATTAAAGGGATTTAAGAAATTTTTTAGGATTTGAATATTTAGGACTTTAGGGATTTATATTTAGAAATTTAAGGGAAGGCGACAGTTGATCATTGGTGGGTTCATCGAGTGGAGACGTGATCGGGAGTAGGTCCGCTAGACGACAACGATTACAGCAAAGACCGACGATCGGTGTGAGTATAAAGATTAGAACTAAAATTTTCAAACTTATAAAGTTTTTTAAAAAAAGTTTTAAAAAATGCAAAGTATTTTTTTTTAAGTTTTTTATTTTAAATAAAAAAATTTCAAATTACCGGAACATGATACGTTTCACTTAACAAAATATTTTAACGACTACAGGTCAGACACCTAAAATGGTAACATTCGTAACGTTAGACACTGCATAAATCGGGAAAAAAAAAGTTTAGGCACCACTTTGAAAAAATGTATAATTTAGACACTTATTTTTAATTAAATATGTTAAATATTATCATTGTTAATATAAATATTAATATTTTAAATAATAATATATTTATAAAGACCATCTAATAAATTGATTACATAAACTTTCTTTCATATAAATTTTATTATTTTGAATTTTTTTAAATAATTTCAGTGGTGAAAGAGAATGTTGTTATCTATATTTAAAAAAAAAATTAGAGTTTAAACAATTGTGTATATATGGTGTATGCATATTGTCAATAGGCGAAGAAAAATCTAAAAAAATACTGCACTGTAATCACTCTGAACTATTAAAAAAATTGAATATTTTAATTATATGTTTTATCAAGAATTTAAACTTTAAATGTTTTAAAATTTAAAGTTTAATTTTTTAGATTTTAAAATTAAAATATGCTAATAAAAAACATGGCCCCAAATATCCTAAGTAAAGATTACATAGTCGTCATTCTATGAGTTTAACCTAAGGATATTTGCGTTGATTTAATCCAAAATTAACTTGTAACCCTCAAAATACAATCATAAATGATCTAACAAAGTCAAACTCCTATAGAAATCAAAACAAATGGAATAAACTTACATAGCATGGCCACATGCATAGAACATACGGATATTCGGATCCCACCTCTTTACCAAGTATTTTATCCCTTCGTTTTGTTGGTACCGAATTCTAAAAAAAATATCCAACCGTCTTATTTAGATCAGAGTTTGTATAAAACCTGTAGACAAGTACTATGGACTATAGAACTTTATGACATGTTAGTTGTATCCGACACTCGATTAATTGATCAAAGTTTTTTTCATAACGATATCAACACAATTCACATGATTTTTTTAATCATAACATAGGAACAATTTAACTCAATATACTTCAATTTTCACATAAGGACTTCATCATATACATACTCACAATATCTCAAAATCAAATAATTAGATTAAATTATGTTTAGAGACCCCTAGCATTATTGTCACCTTTTAAAAAAAAAAAAGAAGGTACTTTGTATTATGAAATATTACAAAGTACACTACCTCAAGGACATCATTAAAAAATATCCTTAATCCTAAATGGAGGAAAAAGAGTGTACCTTGAGGTGGTAGGGATCAAATACACAAAAACTCTCACAACAAACAATCCATACCCCAGCCCTACAATAATCCCCAAACCAATTCATAAATAAGCCTACACAGACAATCCACTAAAATGACTTTGGAGCTAAACGAGGACCATACACAGGCAGCATAATTATTGGAATGAACCAACACATCTAATATAACATCAACAGCAACCAGAACATAAACGAAGACAAGCACTGAGAAATGGAGAAACTAACTTGCTGAAATTGACCCAATGAAAAGGGAAGACTTGAAGCTCGAACTACGAAAGAGCTATTCAATCTTTTTAAATAAAACAGAAGGCTTCGATTGCTAGCAGAACTACCAGAGAAAACAGCTCCCAAATTACACAAGCTGCCAAAGTCTCAAACAAGGACAGAAACATAAATCCATATAACTAAAACTTTTGAAGCCTACCCAGTTGACCCAATACATCTCTTGCAATACGCAAAACGATAAAAGCACAAACACACCCAAACCATGGAAACAACAACACAGACTTTGCCTCCTCATTTCAATACCCAACTACAAGAGCAGCAAGCACACATCACCCAGCTCCCCAAACTACGAAATATCGAACATAAATCAGACCGCAGAAACGATAATGCATTACACAAACGTAGGAGCGGACAGTGGACAACATATATCAGCAACACCAAAGAACATATAACAAGCCAAAGCAAACACAAGACAGCTGCAGCAACATCACACTTCAAACGCGACAGATCACCAAAGCACAAGACAGACACCACCCACCAAAGCACAAGACAGACACCACCCACCAAAGCACAGGCCACTGGACACCACAACCAACCAAACAGTAAACGGTGAAATGAAGTAATCCACCAGACAACAACTTAGCAACCAATAATACTTGAGCCACAACAATTCAGACTAACAATTAAATCAACCTACTAATATCCTTACACTAAAATACTATTTAATAATCTATTCCAGCTTCTCTTAAACCACGACAAAAACCTCAAGACCAAAGCCTTAAACCTCCACAACCCCTGACAGTCACGCACCAAACTCAAACAATTCTGGAGACGCTAAATCCTTGAGAACATCACTTTCAAAACCAACATCATTAACGAATCCAAACCTAGAGCCTACTGGAACTTTTTTTTTTTGGAAAATACACACAGAGAACCTCACCATAACGACCCACAATCTGCCATAAACCTTTCCAATGAATAGTGTTTGGTAGATTATCCACAAACAAAGAAGTAATTCTCGATGGAAGACCTGAAACACTCTCCCTTATACTGTATTTTTTCAAACGAACAATAGACTGGTTCACTATGGCTTTTACACAAACAACTTACATGCAGTTTTAACTATCGCAATCTGACTCCCGAAACTAACTAGAAACCCACACAGTATCTCAAAACTTTGAAACTAATTTCATAAGAAAACCAAATCTCAAGCACGAAACATCAATCAATTAGAAACATGAATAAAATCACAACTGGTAGAGAAAGAATCGATCTCACCAAGCTA